GTAATCCTTAAGAAATGAACAGTATAGACATTTGAGTATAATGTGCTCAGTAAAAACTTTTTTCTTTCACAGGAAGTTTAAAAGTATTAACATTTAGGAAAAAAGCCTTATTTCTCCAATTCTAAAAATTTGTATCTATTGGATATAAGGAGTGTGTGCACAAACACCCCGTCCACTACTGCACTCTTCAGATGCACAGACAGAGCAAAGCAGGAGCATGAACTGGCTCAGGATCCCCACATGGATCAAGGAACTCCACTTGCTACTGTCTTCTTCCCTTTTTTATTATTATTATTTTTTATTATTCTATAGGCCTGCGTTAGCAGGAAGCTGACGTTAGGAGGTAGAGGTGGATATTGAAATCAGACATTCTGATATGGCACATGGGCATCTTAACAGGTGTCTTACCCACAAAGACCAAGTGCCCACCCCTTCACAATTATTAACATGAATATGTATAAAGGACCGTGGGGCAAAGTGTCAGATGTGTTGTTATCTTCCTTAAATGATACTTTGATGGGTCTGTTTACTTCTGGAATATCAGTGTTGTTTTAATATATGTAAAAAACACTTTTTAGTAGCCTTCATACTTTAATAAGATTTTTTTTATTTGGACCAGGTAAAGGAATAGAAGACCTGGGAAACTATCTTAAAAATTCTATATTTGCTTTTATTCATAGTATTAAAATCAATTAGCTTTTAACTCTTAAGGGTAATCACTTAATAGTCTTAATAGTGCCTTGGTTGAGATGAATGGTTACCCAAGAAACTATCTAGGAATCATTAATGATTCAGAGTAAATCATACAAGCTAGTGTAGGAGCCATTCTGAAATAAAATGGGAGGTCATGAAGTATGTGAGTGAAAGGTTTGTGAGGTAAGAAAGACCACTCATATCAAGATAAGTATACTAAGCATAAGTTGGGGGGGAAAGAATAGCTATCAAAAGCTTGAAAAAGAACTGCTTTTCTGGGAATAATGTCCATATTTTATACGTATTATTATGTATCCTACAAAAGCTTGGTATTCTCCTGTTAACCTGCAGATGGTCGTAAAAAAAAAAAAAAAACACTCACACACACATAGTTAAGCATATCCATAATGGTTGCAACAGCTTTGAGGCTCAACTTTAAGTTTCATTATTGCATTTTAGTAAAAATTTCTTAATAGAAGAGCCAAACACATAAGTATCAAAATACCACTGCTCGTTGCTCTTTTACAGGATTTACTGCGATTGAAAAGATGCTTTTAAACAAGGGATACCGAAAGCACTTATAAATATGTCTAAAGGAAAGAAAAAAATGGACTATAATAGGCCATAGTTTGATGCAGAGGGACAATGAGCCCTGATCCCAATGGGAAGCATCGGGGCAGGGAGGGTGGGGGAAGCAGTAAAGAACAAAAGATCCATCTTAAGGGAGAATGTTGTGAAGGGAATGGGTGAGACTCAAGCCTCACCTTAACACCAGAGGAGTTGGGAGAGTGCTTAGCAGAAGGGAACATCCAAGTTCCTCTCCTAATCGGACTCTTTTTTTTTATTAATGGCATTGCATTATGGGCACTGGGATTTCCCCCGACACCTCCCCGAACCCTCTCCCCATGGTGGATTTCTCCACCTTGCTGCATTACCACAGTTCAAATTCAGTTGAGGTTCTTTCATTGGAAGTATTTACCAAGCATAAAGTCCAGTGTCTTATTATCCTAGTGGGTTCAACGATTTCTTGGTGAGACCATCTCTGGTCTGAAGGTAAAGCCAGCAAATTATCATCCCAATCAATTAAAAGCCCGAACATAAAATCAACAGCCATTTACAACCTTATGGCATTAATTGACATGGTATTTCCTAATCGGACTTTGATCAAGCTGCAGACATGTCTAGGGCAATCACCCAAGGTGTGGAAGGTGATGATGGTAGAAGTATTCTCAGGAGAAATTGACATTTAGAGTCTAGGAGGGGGCTTCCCTCCTCTGGGGAATTCTGTGGAGAAGGAATGCTTGAGTATGCTAGACCAGTGTTGGCCAGGTATGATTTTACATATTTGGGGATATTTTGCAAAGTCTATCAACATTTTTTAGCTGCCATCTAGTGCATGAAGGTCAAATCAAATGTCACACACCTAAAGACTTCCCCCTCACGGCCTCCTCGCTCAACTTCAAGGCATGAAGCATTTGAAGGAAATGACTAGGGTGGGATGGCTGTGGGATACCCAGCTGAGCAGAGAGGAAGGAGCTGGCCCACCAACTTTTGAAGATACTTCAACAGCAGAACAAACATTATCAGCAGATTAACAATGTGCATGTGGAGAGGCAGCCACATGCTGCTCTCAGAGGAGAGGAAACAGTGATAATATTCTGTGAAGGAAACTTTCCGTACCAGGACTGACCCCTGCCTCGCATTTCCTCATCCCCTAAGACTAGTAGATCGTTCAGGGAACCCCTCTTATATGCTTGTTCCTGGACCGAGCATCCACTGCCTTCTCATGTCATAAACAGATTACTCTTCCAGAACCCAGATTAAGCAGTGTCCTGTTCAGGAAGCCCCTTCCATGCCCCAATGCTTCTCTCGAATTCCACCCATGGTTGGTTTTATTCCATGTATTGACACACAAATCACTACTTTATGTAGAATCCATGCACATCTGTCTTCTACCACATAGTAAATATGCTCTTGTTAAACGATCTTACATTTCTTAGTGTGGGTATTATTCATTTAAAGTGAGCACTCAGAAGTTACCTTTAATCAATGACTGATGAAGAAAAATAAAACGCACAAAGGTGCTTTCTAAATTAAACCATGAAATGTGGCAATGTATTCAGGTTGCACATTTAAATCATAGGACTTCAAAAATATAAAATTTCATCCGTTTTTTTTTCTAAAGGCAGCTCCCAGAAGAAACAAAAGTTTTCTCTCAGGTGATTTCCACATGGAAAGAAGTAACATCCAAACTACAAAACAGACTGAATGCTTTGCAAATAATCATCTCCAAAAGAATACCCGAAATTCTGAAAAATTGTAATAAACATTTTGAATTTATAAAGAAAAGGCTTGAGGTAAAAAAAAAAAAATGAGGAAAAAAATCATACCAATCCTAAAGTAGTGAATGATTTTATTTTGCAGAAGGAGTGTAATATACAGTAGAAACTAACCTCAAATTCTCTTCTTCCATAGCATATAGTGAAAATATTCACAAAAGCAATGGGAGATGGACTGACGAAGTGATCTTAGGCAAAAATACTAAACTTTGAAGAGCCAGAATTCCATTATCTCCTTTTAAGTATATTTGTTTATCTTGTATTTATTTGCAAGAGAAGGAAACCAACTGCTTCCACATGTCAGTTTAGTCCCCAAATGCTTGCACTGCCAGGGCTGGGCATAGCTTTACCGCCTCTGTCACCTGGGTGGCTGGTACCCAAGTATGTGAGGTATCATCTTTACCTCCCCAGAGTGTGCAGAAGCAGGAAGCTGGATCGAAGCAAAGGCAGGACACAGTCCAAAACTCTCTGGTGGGATGGAGGTGGGGTGTAATAAATATCCTAAGCAAATGCCCCAAGTTCTATTAAGGTTGAGAAAAGGCAGAGATACCTTGAGGGGCTTTGTTCTAAATGGGAGAGCATAAAGCACAAGAATTGGCACAAAAAGTACTTCATGAAGGTTAATTATTTTATTAGTATTAGTACTGTGGTCTTTTTAAGATTTATTTTTATTGAAAAGTCAGATTTACAGAGAGAAGAAAAGACAGAAAGATTTTTCATCCACTGGTTCACTTCCCAAATGGCTGCAAAAGCCAGAATTGAGTTGATCTGGAGCCAGGAGCCAGAAGCATCCTCTGGTTTCCCACACAGGTGCAGGGTCCCAAGGCTTTGGACCATTCCCTACTGCTTTCCCAGGCCACACACAAGCAGAAAGCAGGTTGGGAAGTGGAGCAGCCAAGACAGGAGCCTGTGCCTGTAAGGAATGGAGGTGTTTGAATGTAGAGGATTAGCCTATGGAGCCATTGCACCAGCCCCAAACCACTACTATGAAGTTGATAAATGCAGCAAAAGTTCAAATAGGATATGTTGATGGGCTTATAAATTTCTGATTGTTAAAACATTGAATTGTCATCTTGACATACATATTGCTTAAACAACTAGGTTCTGGTGTTTGAGATTCATGATGTACACATTTACTTTGCTTCAAAAATCAAGATTTTTTTCAGGCATCACTTTTCCTTGTTAAACACAGGACACAGATACCAGGATGGCTCTTCTGGAGTATTTAACTGTAGTCAGGGCTTCTATATAGAAAGTTCTTCCAGACAGGCCTTCTTCTGGAACAAGCTATGATCTAGGACAGGTGGTCGTTAAGCCTTCCTGTTATATTTGACACGTGCCTGAATTATTACTGAGGATGATTCCACACCAGTCATTTAATCATGGGCTGAATACTGACTTGGTCCAGGCACTGCTGCTGCTCTGTACTGGTTCTACAAAGTTAGAAGACACTTTGCCTACTACTACAGAACTGCAGTGTAAGAGATGAAAGAGCAGAGGGGCGTTATAAAATGAAGTATGCCATGACAGCTTGGAGAGTGAGGCCGCAGCAAAGAGAAGAAAATTTCCTGTACTGAGAGAAAGGACACTTAATGTGGGTCTTAGGAGTGGGTACTGACTAGGTTAGAGTCCAAACAAAGAGGGTAGGTGAGACATGGAGCCAAGAGCACATGTGGTACCTTCTGGTTTGTGAGCAGTACAGTACAGATGAGACAGGGCACGCGTGGAACAAGAGGGTGAAGGGTCTTGAGAATCACAGTGAGTTACAATTTTCATGAGCATTCAGAGAAAACTTCGAGGCAGCAATGTAATGTAGAAATGCCTCACCACATTGTCACATGAGGAACCAAATTGCAACATGAGCTTGGAGAGGGATGAATAATTTTCAAACCTGTAGCATGGACAGTGAGGCTGGATATTTAAAGACTAGTTCAAGAACAATAGCAAGACCACAGTGAGGATGAAAGAATGTGGAGCCTGGAGCAGCAGAGCGGCGAGTCAAGTGTAAAAGATGTCCAGGACTGTGGCTGGATTTCTGGTTTGGCCATAAAACGAAAAGCAATGATGCTGCAGAGAAAAGAGCTGGAGGAGACTTGTGTTTGCTCATGCTGAAAATCTAATGCAGATAGGACATTCAGATGAATGCCTCACTTGGCAACTGGGAGTAGTAGTTCTTCCTTGTCTTTGAGTCCTACAATTCCAGTTACCTGTGGCCATTCATGGTCCTCAAAATATCAAGTAGAAAATTGCAGAAAAATTTAAATTGCATACTGTCCTGAGTAGCATGGTGAAATTTTCCCTATTCTACCCCAAATGTGAATCTTCTCTCCCTGCTCAGCATACTTACTCCATATACATCATTTACTGCTTAGGCGTGTGGTAGTCATCCCAGTTCGCAGATGTATGGCATGTATTACAGTGTGATGTATAAATAACATAAGTGTAAGGATTTAGTGCAATGTGCAGTTTCAGCATTTTCTGGGGGAGTCTTGGAATGCATCCTCTGTAGGATAGGAGGATACACAGTGTGGCTGGGCAGAGAGAAGTGATCTGAATGGAAGAAAATGAATATGGATTAAATAACTTGAGAAGAGCATAGTAAGAAGAGTGATAGGAAAATTTGAGAAATGTCAGCATTATGGTGGATGGGACAAAGAGGGACTCTTTTTTTTTTGGATTTATTTTTATTGTAAAAGCAGATTTATAAAGAAAAAGAAAGTGATACAGATCTTCCATCCACTGGTTCATTCCCCCAAGTGACCACAGTGGCTGGAGTTGAGCCAATCCAAAGCAGGAGCCAGGAACTTATCCAGGTCTCCCATGTGGGTACGGGGTCCCAAGACTTTGGGTCATCCTCCATTGTTCTCCTATGCCACAAACAGGGAGCTGGATGGGAAGTGGAGCATCCCTAAAAGAGATCCTGGTACATGCAAGGCAAAAATGACATGTAATGGCTGTGGGAAAATGGGAAAAAAATCAGAGGTTGAAACAAAGGGCAGAGCCAAGTCCTATAGAATTTGCATGCAACAGGAAGACTGACAAGCACTCAGTAGATCGGAGCCAACAGGGGCTCTATGGCAGAATGTGACATGATAGAGAATTAAGATTTTGTGCTTATAGACTAAGAACTTTGTAGCAAAATGGGCAAACAGCTGTTGGAGGGGAACAAAGGGACAGGAAAGGCTTCTTAAACTTTGTACTTGAGAGAGTGCCAAGGGAGAATCTGAAGAGAATAGAACAGAAACCAGTAAGAACTTGTTGACCTGACCAAACTGGATGGCTGGCTGTTTCCTGGTTTGAATCTCCTACGTTGTGGGGAGAGGTGGCGGCAGTGGTGAATCTCCATGAGAGTGCCTAAGCAGGAGGATGTGAGCTCATCTGTGAAATGGGAGCTCCACAGACAGGGAAGCAGTCCAGAAAGGCGAAATACACAAAGTAAATCGATCATACTAAAATATAGTACTTTGTTAGCAGTGAATAATTTAAGAGGATTTTTGTTGCTGCTTAGGTTTTGATTTTTTTTTTCTAAATTTGCTTTAGGAAAGGTTTTTAATGTGTTGAGTACAGCTTTCATTTGGCCTTGGCGTGATTTTCAGATACTAGCATGTTCCCTACACCATTACTGTTGTAGCTTTTGTGTAGGTAGGTACACATGCGGTTACGATCCTTACCATGAATAAGTATATTTTCTGAACTGCATTTCTCTTGGTTTTTCTGAACAGGACTACCTTGAAACGAAAAGGATGATTTTCCCCAGGTTTTACTTCCTCAGCACCGATGAGCTGCTTGCGATCCTAGCCGGCAGCAGAAACCCTGAGTCTGTACAGGTAACGGCACTCCCCTATGTTCAGCAGTGCTATTTCCCGAGCATTCCAGGATTTACTCATGCTGTCAATCCACCTTTCCGGTTCACAGCCTCATCTAGTGAAGTGCTTTGAGAATGTGAAGCAGCTGATGATATGCAAGCAAGAGATCAGCCCCTCTACCATAAGGATGCTCATGTCTGCTGAAGGCGAAGGCCTCGTGCTGCACAAGTATGCTGAATATGCTGCTAACCTAGCGTTCAGACCCCTTAAGCCCTCATGCTTTACAACCTCTGAAATTTGGTTTTTCATGGAAGCACTCTAAGCAAACTAAGATATAATATCCTTATTCAAATATGCTGTCACCTTTCTGGATGTCTTCTCATACATATTCATTTCTTTTCAATTAGAAGCAGAGAAGATAATCTTCAAACTCACGGTACTCATGTAGGTCTAGCTTCTGCTCTGTCATTCAGATTTGCTTTGCATTTCCTACTCTCATTATTGCATTACCAGTTTCGCTAAGCTATCATGCCAGGCCCCCCAAAATGTTTTATACTACAATCTCTCTGTCTCTTACAGATGAATTTTTTTTGCATATAATTTAATTACTGTGTAATTTATGGTATTTATGTAAGAATTCCTTAAAACCCGATTAACTGTTTTCTGTGCAGTTTTCTAAATTAAAATTTGGAATAACCAAAAGATATTCTAGAATTATAATTGAGCCGTGAATATTATTAAAATGTGCCAAAATGTAGTCTAAGTCTATCAAAGGACAGAGCATGAATTGAAATGGCTTTCTGATTTTTTTTAAACAAATTACAGGAAAATTCACGTAAGAAGTGCTGTAGAACAGTGGCTGGCAAATGTAGAAAAAAGCATGTTTGAGGCGTTAAAAAGTAAGTACAAATTTTAAATCCTGAACCTATATATATTTGTTACCTGTATTTAACTCTACCTTTGTCAGGTTTTTTTTGTATCCCAAGTGTAAATGTGAGATTATTTAGCTTTTTCTTTCTACACCTGTCTGATTTTATCTAACATAATGTGCTCCAGGACCATCTGTGTCATCAGAAACAATAAGATGTCCTTATATTCAGAGACTTAATGTTATCCATTGCATGTAAACACACCATGGTTTGTATATATATATACACACACATACACACACATGTAAAAACAATATATATAAAAACTATATAGTTTTCTGACTTTTTCACCTTCTATTTTAAATTTTATGGTATTCCATAGTGTCTGGAGTTTTCCTACCCCCTCCCCAAATTGCCTTCCCCAAACTGATTTTCCTCATAATTGCGATAATGTAGTTCTTCATAAGCAGTCACAAGTCCATCATTCTGTTATTTAAGTGTGTCCTGACATTGCTGGTACAGACAATGGTAGATAGTCCAACATCCTGTTGTGTAGATGTATCCAACAGTTTCACTGGGAGACCATCTTTGGTCTGGAAGTAGAGATGCATGCTGCATTGTATCTACATATCTGGATATGAAAGTCTCTATTGCACAGTTTCTAATCCTTCCTACCATGTTTTCTTTCTCCATCCTTCTGAGAGCACTGATGTTGCTCCCTTATCTCCCTGATGTGAATAATCCTACAGTGCACATTGGAAAGCAGATGCCTCTTTGGCACACTTACTTCTGTTCCTTTGGATATATACTCAAAAGTGGGATTCCTCTGAGAACTCTCTGTGCTGTTTTCCATAATGACAATTTGTATTTCCTCTAACAAGCTCCAAGAATTCCTTTTTCTCTGCATTTTTGCCATTGTTCTTTTCTGTATTGAAAGTCTCAAAGAGGGCAAGGATGAGACAGAGGGAGAAAGAAGAGGTCTTCCATCTACAAGTTCACTCCCCAGATGCCTACAGCAGTCATCTGGACCAGGCTGAAGCCGAGAGACTAGCCATCAATCCAGTTCTCCCACATGTGTGGCAGGAGCCCAGTACTGAAAGCATCATCCGCCTCTTAGGGTGTTCAGTAGGAAACCAGAGCAGAAGAGCCAGAACTTGGACCTAGGCACCCTTCTAGAGGATGCAGGTGTCTCAGGCAGAATCTTAACACTGCCCACTTCACTGCTTCTTGATAATAGCCATTCTGACATGTGCAAGGTGATAACATGTTGTAGTTTTATTTTACATTTCTCTGGTGGTTAGTGATGTTGACTTATTTTTGTTGTTGTGGTTGAGCTGTTTGAGTCTCTTACGTATTTTGGGTACAATTCCTCTCAGAATGCATAGTCTGAAAGATTTTTTTTCTCACTGAAAGAATTTTCTCCTTATTTAGTTTCCTTTGCTGTGCAGTTTAGGGTTGGGGAGGGTGGTTTTGTTTTGTTTTGCTCTGACTCAATCCCATTTATTTCTTCCTGCTACTGTTACATGTACTTTCAGGGATGTATCCCTGACCAGAATCATCACATCAGTGTTGTGGAGGTTTTTCTCTGTGTTTTCTTTTAGTGACTGTATAGTATCAAGTCTTACTGTTTAAGTGTTTGATGCGTTTTGAGTTGATTTTCATGTTATATGAAGTAAGGGTCCAATTTCACTCCTCTTTATGTGAAAATGAAAGTTTTCCAGATATTTATTGAAAAAAATTTGAAAATATTTTACTTATTCATGTGAAAGAGCAGCAGACAGATAAGGAGAGACAGAGTAACCTTTAATCTACTGGTTTACTCCCCAAATGGCCACACCAGCCAAGTCTGAACCAGGACCAAACCAGGAGCATGGAACTCTGTTCTGCTTCCCACGTGGGTAACAATGGCCTGTTATTCAGCCATCATCTCCTGCCTCCCCTGGGGCATTAACAGGAAGCTGGATCAGAAGCAAGGTCTTGAACTGGCACTGTGATACAGTAAGCCCATGATGCAAGGAGCAGCTTAACCTGCTGTCCCACAGCACTAGCCCCAAGAGACTTTTATCTATTGTATATTGTTGTCATCTTTGTTGAAAATCAGTTGACCATAGGTCTGTGATTTTCAGGTATTGTACTCTGGCCAGTCTATTTTTTAATGTCAGTACCATGCTATTCTAATTACTATAATTTTGTAATGTGTTTTGAAATCAATGTGATACTTAGATTACTTTGGTTAGAGTCTTTCTCAGGCTGATTTTTTTATATGGTTAGAGTCTTTCTCATTCTAATTTTTTGTTACTATCAACAAAATAGCTCAGGCTGTCTACTTATGGAAATGATCTTATTTACCTCATAATTCCAGAGGTGCAGGGTTAAGGGGCCAAATGGCTTTGTTGCTAGCAGTCTCAGGATGTCTTAGGAAATCCCAGGGCAATGGGTAGGGAATACAAACGTGTGTCTGTGTGCCTATTCTGGTCTTTGTCTCTGTTATCATAAATCCATCACTATCCAAAAATGAAACATTCATTTTGATGACCTTACATGATCTCAATCACCTCCCAGGAGCATCAACTCTAGGCATCATACTTAAGGTCTCCATCCACTTTGTACTTCACAGTGGGAATTTCAGTTCAACAGACAAGTCTTCATGGTTTTGTATGAATGTTTAGGTAGATTTTCCTTTTCTGAGAAAAATGACCTTTTGATAAAAGATGACATCAAATCTGTAGATTGCTTTGAGTAGATTGGACATATTAATAATATTAATTCTTTCAGTCCATTAGCACAAGAAATTGTTTCATTTATTTGTGTCTTTTCCTTCATCTATGTTTTTTTTAGTTCACAATATGTAAATCTTTCACTTATTTAATGTCATTATTTAAATTTAGTGTTCTGTTTTTGATGCTATAATAAGCATATTAATTCTTCAAATTTACTGGCACATGGAAATGAATAAGATGTTTTCTTGTGTTGGTGCTCTATCCTGCCATATTACTAGATTTGTTGATCAGTTCTCATAGTTTTCTGATATAGCCATTAGGATTTCCTATATATAATATAATATCAGCAAAACAGGTCATTTTTCACCTCTTCCTTTCTAATATGGATGCATCCATTTCCTTTTCTTATCTAAGTGCTCTGAGAAGGACATCTAGTGAATAAAAGTAAGAATAGGTATCCTTATCATGTTCCTCGGCTTAGAGGAAAGACTTCTGCTTCTCACCATGGAGTTTAACATTCACTGGAATACTTTCCTAAGTGAACTTTTTGTATTGAGCTACATTCCTTGTATGCCTAAATTGTTGAGGGTATTTTACCAACAAAGTGTGCTCCAGTGTGTCTGGCAAGAACACAAGGAGATTATAGGTCAGTATCCTTGATGAACACAAATTCAAATATGTTCAACAAAATATTCGCAAACAAAAATCTATGGCACATTAAAGGGGTAGTTAACTAAAAACAAGTGGTGTGTATTTCTTAGGGCACAAGAATAAAAACATACATCAATGAATAAGTGGATTCACTGTGAACAGAAGAAAGGCAAAAGCCACATGATGCTTGCAGTCAAGACGGACTCACAGGCTGTTCTTGGTTAAAGCCTTTTTCTGTTCTTATTGTTTGCATTTGGAAAAATCTTTGTTTTTCTCCTTTTGCACTCAAGTCTGTGTGTCCTAAAGGTGAGGTGAATCTCTTATAGGAAGTCTACTGTTTGGGCTCATTTTTTTCACCCAGTCACTTACTTGGCTTTTAGGTGGAGCTTTCGCATCCAGAGTGGTTGAGAAGGGCCTACTGTTGCCCTTTTGTTCACTGCTTGCTGGGATTTTGCAAATCCTTTGACGCTTTCTTCCTCCTGTGCTGTGGTCTGTTGTGGTTTGATACTTTTCTACAGTAGCATGTTTGGATTCATTTGTTTTTTTTTTTTTTAATCTTCTATGCGTTTTTTCCCCCCTAGTGATCACTCTCACGCTTACATAAAATATCTTTTACCCTTATCAGGCTGTTTTTAGCTGTTAAGAACTTAAATGTGAACACATAAAGTAATTCTACACTTTGACTACAATCCCCAATTCTGTTTTTAAAATATTTGTGTACCCCAACAAATGACTAGACCTGTAATTTTATCTATTAAGCATGAGACTTGCTTAAATAGTTGATTTACACAATAAGGGAATGTTTTAAATGTAAGTGTGTACTTGAATCAGTGGGTCTTACAATCTTATATTTTCATGTTTGTAATTAGTACTCATTTCTTTCATGTTTATGAATTGTCCTTAATATTTCTTGCAGAAAAAAGAAACACAGAAATTTCTTCAACTTTTTAATTTATGAGAAACTTTTTATTATCCCCCTTTGTTTTTGTAGGACAGGATTACCATGTATAGGGTTGGCTGGCAGGTTTGTTTTGGACCTTTAAAATGACATTTGGGACTGGCACAATAGCTGAGTTGGCTAATCCTCCACCTCCAAAAACCAGGATTCCGTAAAGGTGCTGGCCTGTGTCCCAGATGCCCCGCTTCCCATCCAGCTCCCTGCTTGTGGCCTGGGAAAGCAGTAGAGGATGGCCCAAAGCCTTGGGACCCTGCACCCACGTGGGAGATTGGAAAGAAGCTCCTGGTCTCAGATTGGCTCACCTCCAGCTGTTGCAGCCATCTGGGGAATGAACCAGCAGATAGAAGATCTTTCTGTCTGTCTCTCTTCTCTCTTTAAATCTGCCTTTCCAGTAAAAACAGATACATCTTTATTTTTAAAGGATATTCATTTGTTCTAACATCCTGAAAAAATATGCTTACAGAATTCTGGTTATTGCCTTCTATACAATCATACCCTTAAATCTGCTGCTTTCAGAAATCTCTGTCTTTAGCTTTTGATAGCTGAATTATAATGTGTTTTGATGTGGCTGTCCAAAGTTATCCTATTTGGTGTCCATTGGGCTTCTGGGATCTGGATTTCTGTTTCATTTTCCAAGCTTGGGAAATTTTGTGCCATCACCTCTTTAACATGTTTTCTGCCCTCTTCTTTCTGGCATATCAGCATTGCACACATTGTTTCACTGTCTGATGTCCTGTAGGATCTTCAGGCTTTCATTCTTAGTTTTGTTCCAGTGACCTTTCTTCAAGTTCACTAATTCTTTCTTCCACTTAGTCATGTTTGTGGTTAACACCCTTTATTGAATTTTTATGTTCAGTTATGTTATTCTTCACTTCTATGATTTATGTTTGATGATATTTGTGTTTTCTCTCTTTGTTGATTTTCTGTTCATACATGCATTGCTTTCTATTTACCTGAGAGGTGAGCAGACAGTTCCATTACTTCACTCCTCATATGCCCAAAATGGTTGGGGCTAGTCTAGGCCAAGGCTCAAGGCTGAGAACTCAGGCTCCGTCTGTCTTCCACCTGCTTGAGCTTCCTGCTTGCTCTCAGGATGTCCATTCGCAGGAACCTACTCTCTTAACTGGCATGCTAGTCACAGCCCAGATATTCATCCTGAAGTAGAACTTTGAATATGCTGCTGTGTAGGGTTGAACCTGCTGCTACCTGCTTTTACAAGGACTTAGTGTCTTTTTAATGTTTATCTTGGCTACTGTTCAACATCATCTAACCATCCTGTGGTATATATGGCTGGCAGTTCTCCCTTTCTATTCTTAGATTGCATTCTTTCAGCTATTTTGGCAGAATTGTTCCAAAATTATAAACATTAGCTGTCTAAATGTCTGGATTTTAATTTTTTAATTATTTGAGAGAATGAGTGATATCTTCCACTACTTGACTCCTGAGTTGCCTGCAGTGGCTTGAGCCAAAATCCGGAGCTGGGAACATGATTCAGATCTCCTGAATGTGTGGTAGAAACTCACCTCTACATCCCAGGATCTGCATCAACAGGAAGCTGCAGCCAAGAATTAAACCTAGACAGTCCAGGTTCAAGTTCCAGCTGTTCCACTTCTGATCCAATTCCCTGCTCATAAGAAGGCAGTGGAAGATGGAATGAGTGCTTGGGTACCTGCCACTCCTGGATGGAGTTCCAGGTTCATGGCTTCAGGATGGCTCAACCCCTGCCATAGGCAACTATTTAGAGAATGAACTATCACTCTCCTGTCCACTCTGTCTTCTTGTCTTTCAAATAAATAAAAATTTTAGAAAAAGTACAGATAATGTTAGAGAGGAATTCAGGAAATGTGTTTCATACTTTTAAGTTTGTGTTACCTTTGTGTAGTCCCAAACATCTATCTAAACTAGAAAAAAAATGGATATCTTAAATTCCCTTGTAACTTTGTATGCTTAATCATGAAATGGCCACCAGAAGTGACTAGATATAAATAACAAAGTATTTTTGCTTACAGATTTGTAAATCAAGGATTAAAGACTGGTATTGCCAGGTTTTTCCCTTATGGGCTGTAACTCATCTGGGACAAGTGGTACTCACTGTGGTAAGTTAATGTTCCTTTGATGTATGTATGTAAATGTTTAGTTGTCATATGGCAAAGAAGGCAAGCATTTAGGAAGTAAATCATGACAGGACTGATATTATGTAAAAGTTTCTCTGAAATGAAAATATTTTAAAAAGATGGAAAGGAAAGAAACAAAATGGTGGAATAGGATAAGGACATGTTTATAAACAAGTGGAAAATCATTGGCCAGGGCAAATCTGAGAGCCTGCCATGCCAGGAAATAGGAAGGGCAGACCAATGGCAAAGGAATACCTGAAGACCCATGGGCACAGAGCAGCAACAAAGACAGCAGAACGGTGTTGCAGTGACCACATACCCCAACTATGGTCGGGGATCAGCGCTCCACCAGTGGCCAGGCGGGAAGGAGAGTTCACCTGGAGCTCAGGAAGTGAACCCATAGAACTGCCCATCCTGCCAATTCACTTGATTCAACCACAAACAGATGCAGAGTGGCAAAGCCCAAGCAGGCAGTTGCAGGGACAAGGTGAATTTCATGGCTCACACCCCCATCAGTGCCACAATGTGTGCCATTTTGTGTACTGAGGAAAAGGCTATGGGGATGGAAGAACAACAGCAAGCTCTACATGTACTAAGCCAGGAACAAGCTCATTTCCAGCCCGAAGCATTGTACTGATCCCACAGGAAAAGCAGTATCTACATGGCATCTTAAAGGTTCCACCCAAGATAGGCTCAGGTGACACCCCAGACCTAAGGCAGTAGGCCCAGACCTCCACAAATGCTACAATGGGTGCCATTTTGTGTACTGAGGAAAAGACTGTGGAGCTAGAGGGATGTCAGTGAACTCCACAGGCATTGAGTCAAGAGAAAGCTAATTTCCAGCTCAATGCATTGCACTGGTCTCAAGGGGAAATAGTACTGACTTCACATCCTATGGTTTCTACACAAAATAGGTCCAAGTGATGTCAAACCTTATGGCCAGCAGGTTCTGGCACTACTGACAGCCCAGTGATTTAGGATAGCTGACATCTCCCTAATTCTGGGCACTGCTTAAACCAAGACTGGGAGAAAGGTTATGCAAGCAACATGACTACAGCACAGTATCACAATGGATAGAAAGGAGTAAACCAGGAGCTGGGTCTGTGGAGACCATGATGGACGCAGAGCACAAGAGCCTGGGACTGAAACTTGCTGGAGGGAGTAACACAAGTAACTGCAAATGATGAACCGGGTACACAATCAGAAAAATCGATCTATAGACCTGTGGGCAACACACTTTAGAAACCAGCCCTATGGAGAGGAATCTGCGAACTAGAATAGCAATTACCAACAACAAAAGAAGAAACAGAGGCACAATGAATGTTACTGATGCCTCCACTGCAAAGGAGCAAAAGCAAAAAATGGGGAGGGGTAAAAAAATATTAAAAACTTGTTATAAAGCTTCTTAACAACACTGAGAAGTACATACAGGAGTTCAAGGAATTTAAGGAATGTGTCACACAAAATAGCAGTGCTGAAACTAGATCAAGCCAAATTATTAGACATGAAATTCAGTAATAGAATGAGCAAGCAAAAGAAAGATTTTCAGAATTGGAAATTATTTCTCACAATGGAGAAACAACCAAAAAGCTGGAAATAACTGAGTCAAGCAAAAAAGTACAAGAATTGAGATACTATTAAAAGGCCGACTATAAGAATTATGGGAGTTCCAGAAGGCACAGAAGGAGAAGCTGGGTTTAAAAATGTATTCAATGAAATAATAAAGGAACATTCCCTAATTTGGAAAACGATTTAGAAAACAACTACAGGAGGGACACGAGGGACACAGAACTCCCAATAAGGTTGATCTTATTCGCCATGACACATGATAATGAAGCTCTCTTGTTAAATGCGGGGAAAAGACCCTTAAATATCCACATGAAAAAGTCAATTAACCTATAGAGGAACCCCAATCAGTCTCATTGCTGACTTCTCACAGGAAATTCTAAAGGCCAGATGAGAATGGAGTGACACATTCCAGATTCTAAAAAGAAAAACTGTCAGCCCAGAATAACTTACCCAGAAAAACTTTCAATGTCTTCAGTGACATTGATTTCTATGTCTTCATGACATAGATCATGCAGTAGCATCATTTTCTGCAAAAAGGTTTATTTCCCTTTTCACTTCTTTAGTAACTGATCATTCAATAGCTTGTTATTTAACTTCATGTTTTAAATTTTCTGTTTTCCTTCCTGTTGATTTTGTTTTATGGTTTTTCATTTAAGGGGATGTATAGTAACCATGTAATAGACTCTCACATACAGATGTGAGTATACAATGCAGTATACATCTCTACTTCCAAATCAAAGATGGACTCCCAGTGAAACTGCTAAATATATTTTGACAATAAGATGATGGTCTCTGCCATTGTCCATACCTACAAAGTCAGGATACTTAAAGAGCAGGCTGATGAACTTATGCTGTTTATGAGGGGCCATACTATTATAATAATATACTGGAAATCAGTGGGGATAGGGAATCCCAGAGCCTATAGAAGTGTATCATAAAATAATGTAATACATAAATTATAAAGATAAAATGGAAAGACATAAAGATATAAATATGATCAAGCAAATACAGCAAAATTTGTTGTAGAATGCAGATGATAACTGTATGGGTATTCATTGTATAAGTTCATTTTCCTATGGGTTTCAAACTTTTCATAATATTGAAATAATCCATAAATGGTTATTTTTCCTAGGCGAATCATTATATTTCATTGTATCCATTTTGTTGTTCTTTTTTACTTGAGGAGTTAAAAAAATTAAATACTAACTTTGAAGTTGAGGTGAGAAGACTAACTCAGGGGCCCCTGGGCTAGTCAAAGTGTCAGCAGAGCCTTGTTCCTTCATGGAGACTCTGGAGGAGAGTCCATGTCCTTTATTTTAGCTTCTCAAAACCACTTAGCATTCCTGAGTAGGCACTGGGGTCTCTTCCTG